AGGGCGTATCGCATTCGCGTATCACGAAAAACGGGGCCGTGACATCTCTCAGGCTTCTCTCTGGTAAAGCCCGCTCTGCAGACGATACTATTTTTCCTGCTGGATTGCGTGCAATCTAATAAATTACTATCGTTGCACCACTCAGCACTCAGGATTTCTAATGATTTACTAAATCGCAAGCAATCCAGCAGGAAAAATGGCATCATCTATAGCGGGCTTAAGCTCGGATATGCATATAAAGGTCCTGTGAAGGCTCTATTTTTATGTATCTATAAAGATTGTAACAAGGACATCAGTAAAGCCCGTATCAGGGTACTATTACATTTGTCGTACGACAAATTTTTCAAGCGTGTCGATTGGCCGCTGAATAGAAAGTTTCTAGATACTCGAGAATTTTACTATCCTTCAGCCAATCAATACGCTTAAAAACTTTGTCGTACGACAAATGTAATACCAGCCTCAGACTACGGATTGAGATTGGGATTAGATTGAAATTTGACCAATCAGAGTAAAAGTTACTGAACTTGAGATTAGTAAACTTTACTGTGATTGGTTAAATTTCAATCTAATCCCAATCCGAATCCGTAGTCTGATACGGGCTTAAAAATCGCGAAATAAAGTTGATTTATATATGTTAAATAGTAGATAGAAATACAAGTATGAAATAATAAATAATTTATGTTACATGTAATATAAATGAGGCATGTGATATAAATAATAATGAGCCAAATAAATGACGATTAAAGGAGGATAGGACTTATTTGGAATAATTGTTTGAACAAAAAAACATTGTATATTTCATTAGATTTTATTTAACTATATTTTATTTTGGCAGGAAATGGGAATCACATCAACATTTGTTGCAAACCCCAGTAAGAAATAATCGTCAAAAAGACATCGTTCAGATGTTTGACAAATAATTTCTTATTGTGCGGAAAACCTGCCAAGAACCTTACCAGTATTCCAAGGAAAATCGCCAAAACAATAAGCTCCCACTTTCTGAGCATTTGGAAGTTACTGGATTTCACTAGATCTGCACTGCGCATGCCCGAACAGCGGGCCGACCTATCAACACTGTGTACAGGGTGTCCCGGTAAAGGCTGGCAATCGCTCGGAAACGTGTAAAGTAAGTAAAAATAACTCCACAAGTTTCTACAAATTTTTCTTTTGTAACGCTACTTTAACGAAATATTTGTCTTTAAAGTTAGACTTCCCGTATTATTATTTTTAAATAACTTTTAAATCACTCTGCAGATCTTAATGAGTTGTAACAATTATTTTTATATTTAGTAAAAATCTTTAAATGTGATAAATTCTTTAACACACGTCGAAGAGTCAAGAACGAACCACTTTTGACCCTTTTAATCTACAGAGCTTTTAATTCGGTACGGTTATTAATTTCACTTTTTTTAGATGCTACACTTTTCCAAAATTTAGACTTTTCGACACGATTCCTACTCGAACAATTTCAATCAATGGTCAATAAAGTCGAGACGTATTTTACCAACTATCGGTAATGACGAAATTTCTTATAATTTATTGTCAAAGTTGCACTGTACCGCCGTACACACGACAAAAAATTAAGTCGACGACGTGTTTCCGATTTTTTTTACATCATGCTAATATAATCTAACCTAACCCTAACCTAACGGTTGGAAAGCATTCCAGTAAAAGGCTAAACTCAGGAAATAAAAGAATTTATTATCGACAAAATTTTTAATTCAACGGAGTCGACAAAAGTGAACCGAAAGAATCTGTCTATACGAGAGATGGCGCTAATCACAATTTCCAGAATTGCAATTTCAATCCTAAAATTTTATTCCTGCGGATTTGCGAGCTCGCGAGGAAGGATTAGACTTTCAGAAATTGACGCGGTATCAGTGAGGCATAAATGAGACGAAAAGTCAGGCGAGTGAAAAATGTATTGTCGCAACTTGAAAAGGAATTTGGTCTTTTGTAAATTCTCATTATTGCCACTGACTCATTTGCTCCACCGCGCAAAGCACATTCCGATGCGCGCTACTATCGAGCGTTGACTCATGGCAGCCGGGGATCCTCGCGGGCGACGAATCACACGGCCCTCGCGCCCCCAGAGTCAGTCGCGCGTCGTCCCCGGCGTGTCATCGCCGGCGTGGCAATAGAGAAATGGAAAAGAGTTTGGCGGAAAACGCGAGAGGTTCGGAGATCGAAGATTTCGGCGGATAAAAATGTCCCTCGTAGCCCCGTACTGATAGAACCGCCCCGTCTACTGGCGCGGCCCCCACTCGGCGGCGTCGGCGCGGACGAATGGCGGGCGGCGCGCGCCGCCGCCGGCGAGCGCGATCGCCAATCGGCGGCCGCGTAGTATCGCCGCGTCCGGGATGTCGCTCATGGAACCAAGATGGCATCCGAGGACGGTGCGGGTATCGTGTCAAACGTAGGATGTGATGTAAATAATACGAGCCAGCGGGCAACCGAGTTAGTTGCGAGCGGAGCAGTGAGCGTCGCGTCACCCGGGACGGCGGCGCGTACCGTCGCCGAGGAGACGGACGACCGCGCGCGCGATCCCGCGCGTAATTCGCCGAGGACGCCCACGGGTCTCCCTGCAGCGTCACCGTTTCACGCGAACACGGAAGGGCACGCGTTACGGCGAGACACGGGCCTCGCAGGCTCGTCTGGTGATGCGGCTCAACTGGCCGCGAGCAGCGAGCCCGACAACGAAACGCATCAGCCGTCCCCCCGGCCACGGCGCAGCATGTCTCACCCTGGTAGCGACCTGGACGACACCGCTTGTCTTCCGGGAGAGCCAGACGGTAATCCACTTCCGCGGTATTCGTTGTTGTGCGGGGCCCTTGGATGATATTTTCAAGCGGCCGGCAGCCCCTCGGTATCCGCGTCTCTCGTAACGCCGAGACGTGTTTATCTTAGCAGGCTGACAGCTAGCTGTGAAACTTTGCATTCCAACGTTCCAATACGTAGAATATATTCAACACAGACAAAATGTATCCGAACGTATTCTATGCCAACCGAGGAAAATTTTTGTTAGATTTGACGATGGACGATCTTCGTTTATTCGTTAACCACAGTTACTAAAAAATTGTCGCCCAGAAATATATTCGTAGAGTCTGTTTATATTATTAATGTATATTTATATTTTAATAATTCGTTATTGTTGATTTATGTCGAACATGTCAGACTCCAAATAAAATGATATGCTTACGCAATAGGGAATCAAATTACTAATTCAACTTTTCGAGTCGATCATTTTCGTGATTTTTAAGTTCTGCGTTGCAAAGTGATCACGAAGGCTCGTAACGTATTGTGCAAAGATAATCCAACTCTTATCCGTAAAAAAAATGTGTATATATAATACATGGAATTGTATTTGCAAGACGTAGTTTGGCTGTTATTTGAGATAACGTTGGCACAGATTTTTATTTCTAATGTTTCTCGCAATTTGCTCTAGCGGGAAAATAAAGTTTTAGAGCTGCTTCTGCATTGCAGAATTGTATCCAAATGAAGATTGACTTGTATGTGCTGTACTGACGTACGTGACAATTTTACGAGAATTTTTTTCTGCACAGAGTTAGTGTGAGAACAAATTGAACTGATAATAATTTTTCATAATAATTATAATCATAAATGGAGGGTAGGGAAGGCCAATGCGAATCGTACGCAGTTAGTGAGGCGTAGTCTTTAAAATAGTCATGGACAATTGAATAATAAAACGTAAAATACTAATTATAATCAGTTCAGTTTAGTTAAACTATATCACATGTTTACATTATCACATATATTTGTGTTTTTTTATTTATCAATTCTAAATAAAACAGCGCGAATGGAAAAATTATCAGTCTTTGCTGCTAAAACTGAAACAAGAATTGAGTTCAACGATTCTAGAAAAGAAAATAATCTTTCCTATGGAAGAATAACACAGAAAAGTTTTAAAAACGTGAGATTGTCATATTTTACATACATTTTATAATCGAAACGTCTTCCCCAAATCGATCATTTGTCTCTCAAAACCTTCTATTTCCTTGTCAACTTGCTACGAGGGCATTTTAATAGTAGTACGGTTCCATTTTCATTAATTTCAAGATATCGATAAAGTAAAATAGAGAAAAATCATTCAGAATTGTCCTATGCTAGCCACGAAACAAAATTGGAGGTGTACCAATTTCAAGATTAATAGAGTGATCTCGAAAGTGTTGGTAACTCCAATTTTATGGAATGTGAAAATTGTACCGCCTGTGTACGAAATCAAAGTATACGCGGGTTGAAGCTCGGGATAAAATATCTTTATCACTAATTCATCATTCTCGCATGGAGCCACGCATTACCTTCATTGTACGTTACATGACAGTTATAAAATTGAGATGTGCCTTACTACCCATTAATCGTGTGGTATATGTATTACGCAGGAAGTCCAGATCATTGCAACAATGATGTAGTAAAAACTACTAAGGAACCAGTCGAACATATTGCACATGTAGGTATCACGCATACTTATGTAAAATATTTTTTGTACTTATACATATTTTTATATCATTATGCACATTCTACACTAATGGCCCCTGCCCACTGGACGCGCTAACGTTTGCCGGGCGGCGGAAGTTGCCGCGGCAAGAAGAAATGTATCTATCACATCCGAGCGCACGAGAAGTTGATTGGTGGCTAGTGCTGGGTTTCCCTAGCCAAGTTCCACCGCGCGGCAAACGTTACCACGTCCAGCGAGCAGGAGCCATAATACATACTGGCAGAGCAATTCTTATATGCATCTCTACTGTAGAAAGAATGCTATTGAAGTGATCTTTATGTTATAATTAACTGTTTCCTGTTTAGACCGATTTGACACGTAACAACGACACAATGTTGTCTGGAGATGTACACATGTTATCCACAAAAGCGAAATTAGAAGGATGCGTGAATTTCTCCAACAATACACCACAATTAGGGGAGAGTCCACAAAGTAATGGCGAAGTGATCAGTAGTCCAAGAAGTCCCGACTATCCTCCGAGAGTCTCTGTCAGCCCTGATCCTCATAGTCCAGATACGATGTTTCCCATCAGCATGATGTCGGCGAATTCTACAGTTATCATGGACACGGCAAAGTATAATGAAGAGAACACTGACAATGTGGCCACGTGTGTAAATAAAGTAACCGACAAGTTTTGCCCATCGCCGAACAAGATAAACGATTCACAAGTTGGCATTACAAAAACAGAATCGAGCGAGCAGCAAGAAGCTGCCGGAGAGGAAGATATTAAAGACAGCGATTTGATAACAGAGCCATTCGAGATTAAGAAAGAACCCGCGGATTCGCAGGACGAGCTTCAAGTTAAATCCGAATGGGCGAAAGACAACTTTTCAGTCGAACAGAGGATAGAAACAGAGATGGCAACAGTGGTCCAAGACAAGTCTACGAATTCCGTTGCTAATCCATCTTCTAGTTCGCACTCGAAACCTTGTTCGTCTTCGAGAGAGAAACGCTCGAAGGAAGACAGACGATATTGTTCACGGTGTCACAAACGCAAAGGAATAAAAAGAGCGAGCATTGGTGTGCAATGCAAACGGGACCGTCACATTTTGTCTTCGTTGAGCAGCAAGGTTATCCCCTTCTCGAAGTCCGTCAATGAAAACCTAAGATTAAATCTCCAAACGAAAAACTACAAGATGTTAAACAATCCGGTAACGAAAAGGGAGCTGCTGGAAGGCCTAAAGTACAAAAAGTTCATCCACATAGAGACGTACCCTAACGGTGGTGCGTCCGTTGTCCATATGTTTCAAGATGAGATTGGTACTTTAACAAATGAACAAATGCAAGAATTGGCGCAGGAGTACTTCAAGGTAAGTAAACGCGATGCAGCGTTGTAATAAAGTAAGAGCTTGAACCAGCTTTTTATCGCGTGCGACTTCAATCGCGTCGAAGCTTTATCAGTTTCATGACCAGCGGACTCTTCTAACGAAGTCTGTTTACGTTTCGTAGGTGGTTTTTGGGGAAGATGAAAATGGAAATGCTCATCATGTTATGGGCATAGTACATAACGCGGCTGCATATCTACCCGATCTTCTGGACTACATGGCAAATAGTTATCCCACGTTAACTGTAAAAAACGGGGTGCTGGGTAGAAACAGCGATATAGAAACAACCACGATGGTTCAATACAAAGATCAAGTTTGTAAAGCTTATAGTAATGGTACTATTAGATACGGGCCGTTGCACCAAATAAGTTTGGTGGGCACTGTTCACGAAGAAGTCGGCGGATATTTTCCAGATCTACTACAAAAATTAGAAGAGAATCCGTTTCTAAAAATGGTAGGTAAAACCGCGTGTGTATTTATTGCAAGTTTACTAATATAATTGCCTTATATCCTAGACAATGCCTTGGGGACCTCTGTCCGTCGTGAAGATGGATACGCCGCAAGAGTCAAACGACGGACCTATCTTGTGGATCCGACCGGGCGAACAGCTGGTACCAACGGCCGACATAAACAAGAGTCCGTATAAACGACGCAGGACGGGCATTAACGAGCTGAGAAATTTGCAGTACCTACCGCGGCTCAGCGAGGCTCGAGAGTACATGTTTGAGGATCGTACAAAGGCGCATGCCGATCACGTTGGCCACGGATTGGACAGGATGACTACGGCGGCGGTCGGCGTGCTGAAAGCCATCCACGGCGGCCAGGCGTCCCAATACAATAGAATCACGAAGGACGTCGTGGCCTTTTACGCGGGCGACTTCACTGAACTTGTGGAGAAGTTGCAACTGGACTTGCACGAGCCGCCGATATCGCAATGCGTACAGTGGGTGGAAGACGCAAAGTTGAATCAATTGCGCCGACAAGGTGTTCGTTACGCCAAGATAAATCTTTACGACAACGACATATATTTTCTACCGCGCAACATCATCCATCAGTTCAGGACGGTTTCGGCTGTCTCGAGTATCGCTTGGCACATCAGACTGAAGCAGTATTACCCGGAGTCGCAACACAGTACTAGCATCAGACACAGTCGCGCGGTAAACGAGTCTGCTCATCGTATCAAGGAGAAAAAGCCTTTGGAAGCTGTCGGTATAGGCGACGAGCAGAAGGAGAACACGAATCGGCAGCGTTTAGAACAGAAACTGTCCATCGATTCTCTCGAGAAGGCGAAGGAAAGGGCGGCTGAATATCAGGGTAATCTGAAGAAATCCGATCAGCACGGAAAGCACCGTAAGAGTCGACATCACTCCAGATCGCACTCGTCGCTCAAACGAAAGGACAAGGAAGAGGGTAGCGACAATCAGTCGACGGATCCATTTGGTAGCACTAAATCGTCCAAAAGTGAAACGAACGAACAGAAGCAGAGCAACGACAAGAGGGACGAGAAGAGATCCGAGAAAAAACACAAGGATCGTCGTCGCAGCAGCGAGAAGTCGAGCAGTCATCACACGCATAGTAGCAGCAGTAGCAGCTCCGACACCTGTCACTCCTGCAAGAAGAAAAAATACGATAGCAACGGCCACAAGTTGGATCATCGTTGTAGCCATCACGAGAGATCCAGTAGCAAGAACATGTCGAGTAAGGAAACCGCTGTCGCTGTGGAAGCGAGAATAGTCTCAAAGTTTGATAATTCGTCTTCCTTGAAGGAGACTAAGAGACGCTTGAGCGGCTCAGAACTGTCTCCATCGGTGGACACACCTGGGGCCGAAGAGTCTTCTTCGATTGTTCTCGAGGAAGAATCACTGATACAACGGCAAACCGTCGCCAAAACGTACGCCACCGAGGTTGTGGACAGAGCGTTGGAGATAGCTATCTACAAATCGAAGACTGATGTCGAGGAGGTGTGCCAGTCGCTGCGTGCCGAGGTTTCGGAAGCTTCGAAGGAGGTGCTGGAGAAGATCCACAAGGAGAGCTTCGAGATCGCCGAACAATTGTTTAAAGACGACACCGCGAAGCTGGAGAGATACTGCCATTTACTCGAGATGAAAACCATGTTGGCGTTCACATCGAAAATGGAATGCGCGACGGAAAATGCCGTGAAGGCGCTGATCGAAATGGCGGAGGACGAGGCAAAGGAAAGAGCGAAAGGCGAGAAAACCGGTGACTTTGCGACCGACGGTAACCCGTACAACGAGAATCTGGCAGCGACGTCGGCGACAACCGGTGTCTCCTCGTATTCCTCCTCGTCCGCAATATCCTCTACGTCTTCGTCTACCGAGAACGAGAGACACAGCCACAGCAGAAACGGTAGCAGCGACGAGAACTCGCCGAAACCGTCCGAATGCCACGACAAATCAAAATGCAGATGCAGGGACGAGAAGGAATGCAGGGAACGGAGGCACAAGAAGAGAAGGGACCAGGAGAGACGGGAGCGGAAGCACGATCGACATCACCATCGGAGTCCCACTCAGTTGAAACCCGAATCTAAAGTGTCCGAGGACGCCAGCAAGGACGACGCTTTGAGCATTCCCGGCCTGTCGCACGGTTATTCCGTCGTCGAGAAATCGGAGCGGGTGGGCTCGAAGAACGTCGAGAAGAAATCGGAGGAGAGGAAAAAGAAATGCCACTGCGATCATCACTGCACCCACAGGCACGGAGAGAAGAGGTCGTCCGGCGGTAACGCTAACAAGGATGGCCACGCGACGTCGAGTCGCTCCCACTCTTCGAGCTCGAAGCACAAGAGGAAACCCAGTTCGTCCGGCGAGCACAAGGAGGCGAAGCTTGAGGCGAAGAGACCGTGTTTGGAGAAGGACTCGACCGCGAGAACCTTTGAATCGAGCGCGCAGCTGAGCAACGTGGTAAGCACGACGACGGTGACAACGACGATAACGACGACGACGACGACAACGCCGACGACGCCGACGCCGACACCGATGACGGCGCCGACGACGACGACGACGACGACGACGATGATCGCAACGGCAACAACGACAAATTCGACGCATTCGTCGCCGACGAACACTGTTGTGTCGACCACGTGAAAAGGTGATTTTTTGGCGACTATAGTACAATCCGTTCGTTAAGGGCGCGGACCCGTGCACGGCGGAGCGAAACCGGTGTTTTACTTGAGCGCGAATTCTAATCGTGTCTTCATCACGCGCGTCCAGACACGCGGGAAGTGACGGACGACGAAATAAATTATAGACCACGGGAGATGTACTTTTACTAAAGTAGAGATCGCCGTGTTTCAATCCAAAGACGAGAGGTAGGACCTTTACTTGATCGAGAGTTTGCTACTTTCATCCTTCTTCCCGCGATTATGCATACATGCATATACATTTCAACACAAACACGCATACCACGGAGAAGAGAATAGCAGGAGGAAACGTAAGAGGAGGAAGGGTTGCGCCAGCGCACGGAAGGAGAGACCCAACAATTAAGTTTCACTCTTAATTACGCTACAAAAATTACCTTTGGGTTACAATAATTTGAACGGAAATGTGATGTAAATTTTTACGAGACAACGTCTAGCCTGTTCCAACGGAATCAATAACTGCGTATCGTTCTGAAATATACTTACGTCATTTCGATCTAAACAATGTAGTCAATCAGATTCACTACCTCGCCTCTCGTAGCCTGCGATACCCTTCTCGCCCTAACACTCACTCCTGGTATTCTTTTTTCCATGATGCATACGCCTTAGTCTCAAACAGAGAAGCTAACAATACGAGAAAGTAGTATTGTTTTCTAGAAAGTACATATGCATCCGCATATATATTATATATATACACGCATACACCTTCCGACACAGAATTGCAAAAATTATTTTGCTACGAAAGAAATCCGGACGTCTCGTACACTGCTGAGAGAATTAAAATTAATATTTATAGTATAGATGACCAAATGAGCGGCGTAGGAAAAGGGAATTTGTACAAATTTGTGATCGCGGAAATTGATCCTAATTAATACGACGGAGCTGTGTACTTGTACATAGATTAAAATATTATTTCCCTTTCTGAGAACCATATCTCACCACGCGGAGGGCTTAAGTTATTTATATTGCGTTATTCTATGCGTAAATTATTTATGACGCCTTTTATTGCCGACCATTCTGCGCCAACACGGAACCAAGTCCACATGATCGCGATTTCCCAATTGATGCGGCCGTACTCTTTTTCGCAATTTTTAACAGCACAACTATGATTCGTGCTATAATCAAATGTTTCTATCTTATATAACATGTGGATCGTCTGCATGTCACATAAGATAAAAATATTCATTTATATTTCATATGTAGAGTGTCTTGACTAGACATGTTGTACATATATATACATAACATATATATACATATACATATATATAACTTGACAATTAAGGTACTGAACTAGAATAAGAAAAACATTTTTGCACGCGACTTTACGTTTGGTATTTACAAACCTGTCGCGAAAAGTTACTGACTTGATAATATCACTTATTATCTGTTGAGAGAGAAAGAGAGAGAGAGAGAGAGAGTTTATCTTACCCAGTAATAGTTAAGTATCAAGGACATCTTAACGTACTAGTTGATGGATAGTACTAGGTATCGCCAATCCCTACATCTTTTCACGAGGGACGTAAGATAATATATTTCAGTTAATCGGAAAAGTCCCTTTTTTCTTTTTCTTCTTCCTCGCCAATTCATTAAAACCATACTAACAGACGTACAAACTCACCGCCTTCGCGAGTAAAAATGATTTGACAGTGAAACATCGCAAACGTTAATGATATTTTCTCTATCCGAGTACACGACAGTTCTAAAAACAGTCGGTCTATCGTGTATCTAAGGGTTGTCGATTTCGAAGAAACGCTGATAAAACGATTAACCATTTTCTGCGAGTACGACTTCTGCATTTAAACTGTACAGAGAAAAGTCAGGTTTTACGTATCTTGACAAAGCTTCGTATACACATTTAATGTGCTGCGCGTTTGCGATAGTAAATTTTCTTTCTTTCGTTATTAAATACTCTCCTGCATGTTCCGTTACGTTACAGTGTACATACACAATAATGATTATATTATAACGATAAAATGACGATGGGCAACGAGAGTAAAACGCAATTATTGTTGCGCGAATTTATCTTCAATTATTTAATTAAATTGCAAACGCTTTAACAACCATTTGTGTCGTCTTCGGGACAGTAAATATTTCTCCTAGCACATATGTTGCTGAACTTATTCGATTTGACCAGCCGGTGAGTACTTCCAGATTCCAATATCCAAAAGTAGGGAAAGTCCGACATTTTGACCAAGCGATCAGTTGATACAAAGCAAAGAATGTGACTCGGGCTATAATTAATACACGACAACCGTGTAAAATGTATTTACAAAATCACTGTATTAATTATATTCTGAGTTACATTTGTTCCTTTGTACCAACTGACGTTGATCAAAATGTCGGACCTCTACTTTTGGATATTGAAATCTGAAAGTGCTCATCGACCGGCCAAACTAATTGTAAGTCAAGTAACACGTGTACTAGGGAAAATATTATTCCGAGAATGACACAAACAGACGTTGAAACATTTACAATTTAATTATACGATCGAAAAACAAATTCGTGCAACAATAATTGCGTTTTACTCACATTGCCCATTGTCATTTTATTGCAGAATTTCGAGAGTCTAATTTATGTATTTTTTAATAATTATGTTCGCCGTATACTTTATTATATTTTGTAAGTTTATCATATTTAGCACGATATACGTTACTATGATTCTTACATAAGAGAGACATTAATAAAAATGTCGATATATACGTTGTGTTACGCTTTCGTTATACATGTAAACCCGTTTCTAGAGCTGACACAGCAATTTTATTTTCACTTCACTTTATATTAGTTCCTTCACGTTACGTTTTTAATATACAGAATATACAAAATAAAGGCTTGATTTAATATACAGAAACATAGAAGCTTGTAAGTCGAGAAATAAAACAGATTTAGCTTGATTTTCAGTTGTATCGACGTTATATTAAAGTAGTTTTCAACCACAGGTTTGTTGTAATGCGATTTCTTAAGATAAGTTTGTGGCAGCGTGAACAACATTTCTTCCTTTTCTTTTTTCCAAAAACAAACCAAGAACGGAATGCCGAATGAGTAAAGAGATAAGAATGTATTTATTGGGTAATAGAGTACGACGAAAGTGTGTACACAGATGATAAGTGTGTACGTCTGTAGTAATTTGCGGCCGCGGAGGACACACGCGATTTACTGTATAAAATCGTTGGAGCGTATAAAACGATGGAGAGTGTGAGTGTAAATTGCATAAATTCTAGTTCCATAGAATCGTAGGTGCCTAAAGTCAGCAATGATCCAACGAGATCGTGAAAGGTGAACCTATTCGTCACCGCAGAGAGAGACTTCTTTTTAGAACACTTTTCTATCCCGGAGACTCTTTTTCCGAAAGTCCGTTTTCACGCTCGAGACGACGAGCGAGCTTTTCGGCGGATTGAGACCGAACGAGAGACGAAGAGGGAGAGCTCGCGCGAAATGAAGAGAATCCTGAAACGCGAAATTCGACAAGCGGATAATTACTTAAGAAGAACACCGAACGGTGCGTCCGTGAAATGAAAAGGACCAAATTGATTAACAGAACGATCCGCACACGTGTCCCTTCCACGAGGAGGGAGGCTGGGATCAATCGGCGACACTTTTTGAAATTCGAGTCAGGATGTAGAGTTCTCCTCTTACGATTGAGCCCAAGCTCCCCTAGATTATTCACTCGAAGCAGTAACGGTGAAATTAAATAATCATAGGTGCTGGATACTGAATACGCCACTTGATATTTTAAGGTGCCTTCGCTCTGTTCGTTGCAGTAAAGCTGTACCGGTAACCACCGATCATTTATCCGATCTATAAAGATAAATCTTTATTTCCACGTGCGTATGTGTGCGTACGTGCGTGCATGTGTATGTGTATGTGTATGTGCGCGTGTATGTACAAGTAGAGCGTGTAAATGTTAATCAGCAACGACTAACACGAGCGTACGTGTTGCTTTCGCTCCTAGAAACATTTCATCGCGCACGCGAATTTTCGAGAGGGGGAGAAAGAGAGAAGTAAAGAGAGAGAGAGGGGGAGCAACAATGAGAATTTTCTTTTCGCAAAAGAGACTTGTAGACTGTACAGTGAACACGTGTGTAAATAACTGTAAGATATTGGAATTAGCTTAGGTCGTCTTAGAAGAAGTCTCGTCGTGCTGAACGGAGGGCATGGCCAGTCTTCCTTCGAAAATCCCGACCGTAGTGCGAGTATTAAATTAAGAGAACCAGAATATACACCGACGAGTTAGTGAAAAATACTTGTTTAACTAATGAAAGGGCAGAAGGTTGGATTGAGACTAGAAGGGCAGACAGGCATCATTTTTGGAATAGATATATGTACATAAAGCAGAGTTTAAGCTAAATTAAGTTTACGTTAATTAAGAATACGGAGGCGAGGGGCGAAATTGAAAAATCAAAAGAGTACACCTTGGCAGTCGACTTTTCTAGTCTCATTCTATAATGTTGCCGGGAGTTATGCAGAAGGGAGATAAAGGGATCTTTGCAAACTTCCTTTTATTGAAGTAGAAGAAGAGGTGGTCCGCGTCGATGGATCTATTCTTTGTAGCCGCTAACACTTTTATTGTCGAATTCTCCCTTCTTCGAGGAGCGACTGACTGTGTCTGCTTTCATTTTAGTTTAAACACAGGAAGCACAACGAGGTGCTGTTAAAAAGAATAGGCTCGATAAATTGACGCGCGTCGACTTCAAGCCTGATCTACAGCGTGCTCTTTGCATCTGGAAGCATTCTATTTTGTAGCCAAGTTGATAAATCGCCACATTTTTTAAGCATTTTGATTTGCTTATATGAGATAAAATGTTTCGAGACGCGTAGAGCACGCTGTAAGTCAGGCTGCCGTGTCTCGCGGTCTTCGTGTTTAGGAATAGTATCTCCCCTTGTCGATAGACCCACATTGTCGAATGTACAAAATCTCGTCGACGTCAGTTAAACGAAAAGTGCAATCACGCCGCGTGACCCGCATAATTGATTTTCTGTCGTAAAACGAGGCTCGGGATCGATCGATCGAATCCGACATTCGCGACAGCCGCGTCTCGTTCGAGCGGAAAAAAAAGCAGTATAATGCGAAGCGAATCCAATGGCCGGTTTGACCGACATTTCTCACGTCAATTTAACAATTCCGAGAGACATGTGTAACAAAAGTAAAAACACTCGTGTAACGAGCTACAAGGCGCGTCCCAAGTCGTATAAATATTGTATTACTTTACCATGGACCGATTATTTCAAAGGAAGAAAGGAGACGTTATATTGACCGATGAGGACACAAATTTTTTATATCTTACACTATGCTCATAGAATAGGCGTCGCAAGATTGACTGAACGACAACGTCCGAAAGCAGTCTTTTTCTTTCAATTAAACGGACGTTGGTGTAGAACGTTATTAATTTCGATATGTAAGCGAGAGACACGTTTTGCAATACTTGGGCCCGGTTTCACCAACGTTGTTTAACTTAAAAGCGTAGCTTAATTCGTTCTTTGTCTCTTTCCAACTGTTACTTTAAAAAGAGACAAACGTGAATTAAACCAAGATCAAAGTTGAGCGACGTGTGGTGATACCGGACCGTTAGAAATCCGAAGACAAGAGTATGGTCGGCTTCGTCCCGTTTCAATCTCTCTTTCTCGCTCCCTCAGATCCGTACCGCAGATCGCGATCCCCGCAACTCGCCCCCCCCCCCCTGAAAATACTTTCAGTTTCGATAATCGTCTCGCTCTGGCGCGAGCGACCGATCCCTCAGAGAATTGCCGTTCGTCCCACGGCATTATATATAAGCAGAAATAGACGTAAAGAAACAATTGTGTGAAGCAATGACTTCCTCGCGACACAATGGGGAGCCTGGGGGATCGGGAGAGAACGGGAAGGCGGTGACTACGCGAACTCGTGCACCGAAAACTTTCGCTCGGGCGGAATTGTATTCGCTCTCTCTGTACATTTCTGTAAATATACCCCTAGACACTCGGCATGCACGCCGCGATGCGACGATGGCCCGGGACGGAAACGAAACGCCGGGACAGGACGCAAGGAGCGACGTACAATGTGCGATAGGTTGCTGATCGCAGAGCTGGTTAAGAGAGAGGAAGAGTTGTCAAAGATGATTATCTGAAATATACAATTCCAAATTAACGATTGATAATTGGAACGGCACAATTGGAGACTTACAAACTTGGTGAAGGAGTATAACGTGTATTTTTTTTCTCCGCTTGTCCCTTGCTCTTTGTGTCTTGCGTGCGTATCGTGTCCCAACTCGATGATTGAACGTTCGCTTGTAAAGGAAAATCAATGTAACGGGAAGAGGGGAACAGCACGCGGTAGTTAGCGCATTGGAGGTTTAATTATCGCTATCGAACAACACACACACAGACACAGAGTATATATAGGATGTACCATTTTAATCTATCACCCCCAAAAACTTTTTAATCGTAGAAAAAAATACTTCAAACCAAAGTTGTTTGGGTTGAGTAGGGACGTGATGTTACGTTCAAGAAATTTCAAAGGCCACTAATAAATGGAACTCTATTGTTTCATTGAGAGGTAATCTTGCCGAAAAGTTTTCAAAACACTATGATAGTGTTTTTTTTTTTCGTTCAGTACTTTTCGAATTATGCATAAACGGGGCTCGAAGTTTGCAATACTTTCACTCAAAAAGTACTTGATTCTAGTGGCTTGAAAACGTCTCGACGAGGTGTGTAACTTTTATCTCGAGGAAAAGATACAAGTTTCATTAAAATAATTAGCCGTCTTTATGAAGTTTCTTGAAAAAGGGCGACGTCTTCGAACATAACTCACATCGAAATCTCGTGGCCTCCTTTAAACCGAACAACTTTTGTCCAACTTTGTTTTTCTCTACGACCGAAAATGAAGTTTTTGGGGATGATAGATAGAAATGGTACACTCTGTATGTGCGTACATGCATACGTACGTACTCACGTACGTATGTATACGTGTATTCGACACGGCTATTATTCTATTATATACACGATATATATTTGCGTTGACCAGTGAGGAATCGTAAAGAAATAAGAGCATATAGTTATAAATATAAATATCGTAGCGTTTAGTTTTACATATTATACCCGTCACACGTGTAGAAGTCGCATTCCAACGTCTAAGTTTTTAATGAAACAAATAAATTACTTTGGTCAAAAAGCGGACTCTGGTCACTCGGACCACCCGTTGTTCCCGGCGGGTGTGTCTGTCCGTAATCATCCGTATCTGACATTCTGACACTTGCAATTCTTCCAGGAAACGCCGGGCCGCTTCGTACGAGGATAGAACCTGCATAGGAGAGAGGCAAAAAAAGATACAAGTTCCGTTATGGCACGTTCCTTGTGGGTTATTAAATTTGGTCGTTTTAACAAGAGAGAAAGCTAGCAGGATATCGTAGTTTTGTTCTTGAAAAAATCCCTTAGGAACGTGGAAATTGCCTCAGAAAGGCCTCTTGGTAAATAAATCGTTAATTACGAGGTACCTGCCACGAGAAATATCTGTGGAACGGTAATAATATCACGGTGGCGAGATCGTGAGGCAAGGAGTTAGCGTTGTTCTAACGAGCTGAAGATCCAAATTTAAATTCGATCAGAGATCGTTGATTTTTATTCGATCGCCACCTCTCGGGGGACAATGGTAAACCACCGAGAGATGCTACGAGCATCTTTTTTTCTATGAGCGAGTCGCTTGGAATATGTTAATTGTAGGTCCCATATATTTGATGAGCGTACAGATACATGCAGAGGAGTTACGTGTCTAACAAGCTACTAATGGGAAGAAGAATGATATATTGTGCTCCAAGTCAATTGAAAGATTGTAACGTTGGGAGCATAACGTCTCATCATTTATTCAAAGGGACGTCTTTCAAAAGATCGGGTAGAACATGTTGCAGGAACTGGAGAATGGCCGCGTCGTTCCAGTTTCCGGAGCGAGTGCCAATACCAATTGGAAGAAGAAGAAAGAACTGGAGATAAATGCGAGCATTCAAATGAGGTAGCAGCGAGCACAATCAAATTATCTTCGGCAGTGCCAGCCCAAATATTGACTGCAAGCTGGTGTTGTCTCTTCTAACGAGCGGCAGCAGGAGGATTTTTGTCGGCCCGGACGTGGCTGTTGCATTGAGGAAATCATTCCGAGTGAAACGTGACTTTATAACCCACTCCAAGCTCATCGGTCCAATTTTGAGACATCCTGTATACAATGGAATATGTAATTATATTTATTATACAAGTATAATAGAGGTAAAATGGAATATGCAATACATGCTGTAAGATATGTCATTTTTTAACATTAGAATATAGAGAATTGTAAATCCGTTAAAAATATTTTCACGCACGGACGTGCATACAGTATTATATAAAATTACACGTCAAATATGTCCAGGCATATTTTTACACTGCATACTTCTATACAATTCTACACAGTTCTATACAACTTTTAAGAGGAAAACAATCGCTCATTTATAAGTACAATACAAGTTTGTACAATTGTACACAATTATATATAATTATAAATAGGCAACGTTTTACATTTAAAAAAACTGTTCATATAAAAGCACAGATAGATCTATAAAATTACACAGAACCGTGCAGAATTGTAGAAAGTTATCTAGAAATATACAACGTAAAAATGTGTATGGACATATTTCATGTATATGTTTGTATTTATTCAAAGACAAATTTTTTACCAGGAAGAACATATTCCATTGTACCAATTTTTCATTCGTGCGCTTTAAAACTGGTTGTGCTTAAAAAATCGAAAGGCGACGCAATCGTGGCCGGTACTGTATACATTATATTATATATAGCTGTACAAATATTGATAGAGGGAAAGTCCTCTGTCATGAGATTGGTTTCCAATATGAGATAGCAGGTTTTCAGCATCCAAACTAGTTACGCTTAAAAACTCGAAAGGTGAGGTAATCACGGCTGGTACTGTGTACATTGTATTATATATAAATATACAAATATCGATAGATCGATAGACGAAAGTCCTATTATGAGACAGCGGGTTTTCAGCACCCACCCAGAAAACATTTTGCGCGCAAACATCTGGACATTGTGACGACGCACTTGGATAGAGTTTTGCCTGCGTTGCTGAGCCAGTTTTGCACGCGAGTCGATGGATATTTGCGCGCAAAAATAAAAACGCTAACACATGAGAGCCAGCCACTTGCGTGCAAAAGCACAGACTAGACATGTTCGGGCAAATCTCATACAAATCTGCAAGAATTCCCAGCACCAAAGCTTTCAGAAACATTGCACCGTTGCAACGTTTTCTGAAGTGTTTCTGAAAGCTTTGGTGCTGTATGGATTGTTATCTAGGCAGATTCAATCGTAAATCTTGTTTTCGCAACGGGTTGTACGATCCAACGGTGAATCCTCCACTAAACGGAATTCGCTTCAAAGGCAATGAATTCACGGTGGGACCAACTGATGCCTGTTAATCTAACGGAGACCCCGCTATCTCGTATTAGGCTCCTGCCTCATAATAGGAGACTCCTCTGTAGTCTCTCCGTGTGCTGCTATCCTGGACCGCGTTCAGAAACACCACCCCGAGTGCTCCAGCGTATCTTTCTATCCTTGTTCAACACACGGTGAGAAACTAGGATAGAGAATGATACTCTGGGATACTCGGGTGGTGTTTCTGAACGTAGCCCTGAGGGGGGCGAGAGGCGTAGGGAATTCGTGCGTCCGTGGAGTACGTGGGGAATTCCGTGGGTCCCGACGATAAGGATGCCGGGCCCGTGCGCGGCCGCGACACATACCGTTTCGATACCGCGTCAGACATCACGGCGCGCTCGTCCGATTTGCATGCGCATCTGTCTAGCGACGGTCTCGGCAATTGATACCAGTTAACACCACTTGTAAGCAAGGTACCGCTGCACCGCGGCTCCGTTTCTACGCGGGATGCCAGCAGTCGTTGCGGTAAACTGGTTGTTCGTCGATTAGCGGCTGCCGCGACAAGACGGTGCGACGGGACAGCGGAACACGTCGCTCGCCACCGCGGACGGCGATCGCCGCGAGGTTAGGCACAGGGGGCTCGCGTAACGGAGTGCACGGCGCGGGCCCGAGGCACGCGGCGCCGAGATGGACAGCAAAGTGGACGACGAGAGCCAGCGCGGCGTCAACGACGGCGACTGGGTCTGCCCTGACTCGCAGTACGTAGTTTCGCCGTGACAATTCGAACCCTCGATCGCGCCCCCTCCCTCCACCCTGTGATTACGTTTTTATCCGCCTGAAGCTACGGCCCACTTGACGAGGCATCGGTCTTCTTCTCTTTCCTTTCGATTAAAAAAAAAACAAAAAAAGAAAGAAGCGTTCGCGGCGTCAAGTGGAGCACGGCCCAGGTCAGGACTCGCGCGCGTCACACGACTGAACAACGAACCCGCTGTGACTCTCCTCTCTTTCCTCTTTCCAGATGTGCCAATATAAACTTCGCCAGGCGCAACTCCTGCAACCGCTGTGGTAAAGGTACGCAGAGCAGGCGCACAGTCTAATTGTTGTAACACCGACGCAAGGGACTGCTTTGCGACGTGCAGCAACAGTGGTTTAATGTCGAGCGTAGAATGCCGCTTGCACGTTAGATAAATAAAAGTAGCATTCCAAGTATTTGCCATGTGAAACATTTTTCTTGGACGCTCTTTATTTATCGATATGATTTTCTGATGCAGATAGAGGCGAATGCCCGAAAAAGAAAAAATTGGGTCAGGAAATCGGAAAAGCGGCCGCGGAAAAAAGTAGAGGTCTCTTTAGGTAATGTTTCACATTTGGTATGAGACTACTTCTTATCAGCAATAAGCGTATGCGAGAATCAGTTGTATGCAAATGGTGCATGAATACATTATACAGCCGGTGGACACGAATGACGAGTCGCACGTAAAAGAAAACATGCAGCGAGAATTGGGGGACGGTTGTGGCCATTCGGGCGTAAAGCTGACGTTTTTTATGCGTACAAAGGGATCATTAGATTGCGATGTTATGCGCTAGATTGTTGGAATAAGTGTCGACGATTTTTATTTTGTCAGACCTGTTGTAAAAACGAGCGGTGCAGCGCGACACGCGCAACGTTAACGTTATTTCACACTTAGTCGTGTCTCCCTTTCAAATTATCTCGAGACGTGCGCAAAGTATAAAAATTTTATTGCAGCGCGGACGACTGGCAGTGTAGCAAGTGTGGTAACGTAAACTGGGCACGCCGGCAACAGTGTAATATGTGCAACGCGCCCAAGTTCGGCGAGATTGAGGAGCGCACGGGATACGGGGGCGGGTACAACGATCGAGGTGTCGTCGAGTACAAGGAGAGGCGAGACGATGACGACGAGTACGACGAGTTTGGGCGGCGTAAAAAAAAGCGGAAACTGGAGAAAAACTCTGACGACGACTCGAAAGACTCCAAGTACAGCAGCCCGTCGCGTAGTAAATCCAGAGACAAGGAGGAAAGGGGCAACGTGGGCGAGGAGCAGGAGGAAAACGTAAAAAGTCTTTGTTAAGCTTGAACCAAATAGCAGCGATCCGGGGTACTTGGCGGATGCTTGCAGTTAATCGGTATCGTAAATCGTAGGAGGAAGAGGAAGAGGACGAGGAGGAAGATGGTGATTTATCTAAATACGACCTTAGCGAATGGGATGACTTTGCGCCGGCGAAAAAAAGGTAATTGTACATGCAACCGCGTTATTATCCGTTGCGAACATGATTGTAAACTTTTACCTTTCAGTACAAACGGAAGTACTGCATCTTCGGAAGCGCAACGGTCAAGGTAAATTAACAGCGGTAATGCAACGCCAAAAAAAAACTATATATATGTCTATTACTGCATTAACATGACAAACGATGCTTTCCTGCATTGAATTCACGACGTGAATTTGTGTCAAAAACGTTTATTATAAGGCATGAAACTTATTTACAGAAACGGAGATGATCGGCGCGATTCAGGCACATCCAACCAATGAAAGGCTGTACAAAAGGACAGGTTTGACTTGGGTTTCGGGTATAAAATTGAATATGATGATCAGTTGCAGACAGCATACAGTGTGATGAATTTTGCTAAATAATGTATAGTCCCAGATCCTTAAGGCTTAAAGTATAGCTTGCTTTTATTGCGATTATATCTCGGTATATCGCGTAAAGACATCGAGTAGAGAGATTAGCGTCGATTTAGCAAACCGTTGAGAAGCGCAAGTGTTGTTCTCATTCAACGTATGAATTTTTTTTACAGGTGAACCAGGAGACGAAGGAACGCAACCAGTGCTCGGCAACTAAGAAGTATTCACAACGCAACAAGTTTTAGTAATTTAGTATGCACCTTTGGATATAAAGTGGCCGATAACGTGTGACTTATTACAAAGGGAAGTCGTCTAACGATAAGCTTTACATTTATAATTGAGCTCATAACTTCGTTGATCCTAAGAAAGCGAAATGTAGGTCTTCTATTTGCGCGGGTATATCGTTGTTCTAACGATTGCAGAGTTTATGAAAAACTACTTCGGCGCAAGTAGTGTGTTTCGCCAGCGAGATTTTGGAATCGACAATTCCAACGTGAATCTATAGAAGAAATTATACACAGCTCGTTTTACAAGCTAAATATGACGTTGTAGAAAAAGATCTTACTCCTAATGTAATAGATGGTGTCAACGCTCTGCGCAAGCCCCGTCGTCGCAGTGTTCTAAGATTCCTATTACTTTATCACAAACGTAACGTATGTCGATGTAGCCGTGTCACTGCTTCGCATTGCTCAAGTTGCCTGAAGGAACCTAACTTCTCTTCTTTTCTCCCCTCGTCTATCTTTTTACATCATTCGTCTATGCATAATACTCGGATTAAGACGGACAATCGTCAAGTGTAGTAATTGAAGAATCATTCCCCGAACAGAGCAGATATGTATTTTGCATCTTTTGGAAGAGACCAAAAGGAAAGGATACGTTCTCTTGCTTTGACTATCACAGATTTGAGTAAGTTGAGAAACAGCCTGCTCACTCCGAAAACGTAGCGCTTTTTTTTCTTTTAAATTAGTCACGTTCCATGTCTCGACAGATACGGAACCCTTATCGTGAACTCCGACGGCCGTTCTTGAATCGCAAAACGATTATCGATCAAATATCTTACTGACTTCTTGTAAATATCTTTATTTTTCATTTATAATAAAAATCATTCATCAACAACATAATTGTCCTTAGTTCAATTAATTCTTTCCTTATATTGTAAACTACAGGTAGGGAAGGAGGGGGGGGGGAAGTCATGATTATGCACAGAGTTGGTCATAAGGGAGGATTGATAAAGGAGCGTCGGGGACGGGCGATATCGAAGGATTATGTTGCAACAGGTATATATATATATATATAATATATATAATATGTATAATATGTATATGGTATATATGTACAATAATAAATTTGAGCTTGTTTGACTATATTTAAGTATTTTAGATAAAGGAAGGATGAATTACGGTACCGACGTACCAAAATCCTCTTACTCATCGTATCATGCATTCTCCCGTACAATTACTTTACCCCGAGCAACCATTATGAACAAAGCGCAAAAAGAGAGAAGAGATCGTACTTGTTTTCTTCCTCTCTTATGTTTTTTTTCTTTATACTCGAGCTATAGTAACGTATTTCTTAATCTAGCAATATACGTCTCGATCGTTGAACAACGACTCCTACGAAAAGAGGGGGGAAAAAAACAGAAAAAAACCAGATTGTACATCAGTATTTACACGAACGCGTGGGAGAATATTCGTACATCTCCATTATTAATAGGATTTACAAATAGTTCCGGAAGATTTCGGCTCGAAATTACACCTCTAAAACATCGAAGATAACAGATTTGGAAACGCGACAATCGTTGTCGCGGCCCGGAAATTAAAGAGAAGAACAGAATTTAAAAAAAAATTCATATCAATATATAAATAAAGAAACCAAGAGAGTTAACGTTAATTTTCATCGCGCGTCAGTCGTCAGGATCATTCTTGAAGGTAACTCAGTGATGCTCGTGAATATCCATCGTTCCTTTCGCTGTCCTTTACATCATTAGCACAGTTTGCACTTCCAGAACTATCTCGCATGATTAATAGAAACATCCCTGATAGACGAAAGATAGAGATAAAGATAGATGGATAGATAGAAAGAGAGCAAAAGAGATATTGAGAAAGAGAGAGAAAAAGAGGGATGAAAGGCCACCGTAAACATCGTCCTTGTTCCCGTCGTCATTCTCGTTCTCGTCATCGTCATCGTCGCGATATGAATCAATACCGGGCAGCTACGTTTACTTCGGCATGAAAAATTGTTGATGCGAGTGCGAGTTCGGCGGTGGATGCAAATTAGGATGCGGCGGCCCGCTGCCTCTGGTGCCGGTGGCGTAAAGCTGTTGCTGGAAGTTGTGAAACTGTTGAGCGTAATTCGGGTCGGACATGCTGGGTCCGCTGCCGACGAACGGGCCGGCCTTGAAATTGCTGGTCGCGCCGCCCATGCTCGGCGGTAGAGGTTGAGTAGCGTCGGGCGGTGGTCCCAGTCCCATCGGACTGGCCTTGTTGCCGGATACGCCGTACATGCCTGGATTCGGCTGGTTCGGCAGGTTCGGCAGATTCGGCAGGTTCGGCAGGTTCGGCAGGTTCGGCAAGTTCGGCAGATTCTGCAGATTCTGCGCGACCATGTCGGGCGGGAAGACTTTGTCGGAATCCATAGAGCCGCCTGGGAAGACGCCGCCGCCTACCATGTGCTGCATCCGCATCAAGTTCGGTTGCGGTCGCATGTTGCCGACCGGTCTCATGGACGGGTGCATGTTGCCGGCGGTGTTCATGGACTGGCCATCCATTCTAGGTGAGGCGCCCATACCAGGGATCCCGGCGGCATTCATATTGGACGGCATACCGCTATGCGGACCCCCCATGCTGTTCGGTACACAACCGTTTGGGAAGTACTGAAGGTTCACGGAGGGCGACCCTCCCATCTTCGACTCAAGATTGGACAGCGGATTGGTGAATCGCTGAAGGAAGTCTAGACTGGGTGGGCCCCGAGGCGCGTGACCGACGTTTGGCCTGGCCGGCAAGTACTGTATAGTGTTGGGTGCATTCGGCTTCACTTGCACGTTCGCACCGTTGTAGGGACTAGGCCCTGCAACCCCGTGGCCGGATATCAATCTTGGCGGAGGCGCGTGTCCCGGGTCACCGCCGGGATAAGCACCACCGGGTGCACCGACCCCCGTGTGGCCGCCCATTATTCCGTGGCCACCCATCATAGCGGGATGTCCCATCTTGCTGGCGACTCCGCCGGGGCTGCCCGTATGCGACGTGGTAGGGCTGTAGCTCGTTGGAGGACCCGCAAGACCCATGCACATTCCGCCAACCTCGTTGCCAGGTTCAGGTCCGCCGGCTCCTCCCATGTGACAGCTGCCATTCATCTCGCCGCCCATTTGCATCATGTGCATGCCGGCATGTGGATTACCAAACGGCATCATGCCGGCAGCATTGCCGGAATGCATGGGTTCGTTGCCCAACGAGTTACTCGCCGCCGTGTTCGTAAGCTGCTGGCTCATTTGCGCCAGGGATGTTATTGGATCGAAACTTGAACCCATGGGGTTGCCCAAGCCGCCGAGTCGACCGCCAATGTTGTTGGGATTGAGGGGCACATTGTCGGATGGTTGACTCACGTTTATGGACGGCCTGCCACAGGGGAAGGAAGCGGGACCGCCACCGGTGGGGCCACCGCTCATCGACGGCACTACCGTCGTATTGCCGGAATTATTCGGATTGATCACCGTAGGCTGCTGTTGTGGAGGCTGCTGCTGCTGCTGCTGCTGCTGCTGCTGCGACTGCGTCTGCTGTTGCTGCTGCTGCTGCTGTTGTTGTTGTTGCTGCTGCTGCTGCTGCTGCTGTTGCTGCTGCTGAGCATCTTTTACGGACGGTGGCGACGTGTCGGGTTTCATGGTAGGCGATGCTGGCACTGTTCGCGGTGGACCCATACTGTCGGGTAAACTGGTGTTGTGCGGCGTCGGACTACTTTGCGCACTCGCGCTGGACTTGTTGCCTGGCTTCGCGGGATCCGCTGGAGTGTGCGGCGCGGCGCTGCCCGGCGTGTGCGGTGTGTGTGGCGTGTGCGGACTGTGCAGAGAACCGGCGAAGCCTCGGTTCATGCTGTCCATCTGTACAGGACTCGCGCCCTCCGATCTAGTAGGGAATTGATTGTTGCTATCTAAACTTCCTGGCAAGATTCTGTTGGGCATCTCCGAAGAATTACCGGCGTTCCTGTTGTCAATGGAAAGAGGAGCATTATTTGTTTATACAATTAACAATCAAGACTTTTTTCCGCTCGAGTTATGTACTACTAAAAAGTTGTAGCGGGAGAACGAGAATACTCACGTAGATGAATTGCCATCCTTCAAACTTGTGTTAGGTTGTTTTTGAATGGTCAACTCTTGCCCTTCGAACGTGCTAAGGTATTGGAGTTGATGAGGGCTCGGTACCGGCATCAGATTTGCTTCTTTCACGGCCGATGCATTAACGTTCCCAGCGTGCTGTTGCTTCTGTTGAGCCAAGGATTGTAGTGTTCGGCAAAACATACCGTCCACTGAAACGAAACAATTTTTCGTGAGCCACACTTTAACCAAATCGATGAAAACTTGTTAACGAGGATCCCTCGGGGCGCGCGAAACTTACCGTTTGATTGTTGATTGATAGGAAAATCGAGGGAAGCATCCTTTTGAGCAGTGGTACCACTAGGACTAAGTGCAGCAATATGGGAATGAGAGACTGGTGTTCCTGGATTGCTGTGGTTCAGTCGCGTCGTAGAAACGGCTGCTGTGGCCGCCGTGGCGACCGTCGGGTTCGGAGAGTCCTGGCTCGTCGGGCTCTGCCCCGGCAGATGGCTGGTCCTCTGATTACCAAGCTGGAACTGCCGGTTGCAGTCAGCCGGTGAATTCAGAGCGGAGCTCGCGCGCGGTGACGGTAGCGACAGATTGCTGGTTGGATTGTTGGGCGACGACGGATTCGGGCTTTGAATCGCGATTGGCACGCTCGCGGATCGAGTCGTCTGATGATACGGTGGTGGCGGGCCTTGACTTCGCGGTACTCCAACCATATTGGAACCGCGCAATGGTACTGCGCCAGAACTGCCGACAGTTGCCTACGATATGCGATGAGTTTACATACATTATTTTCACGATAAACATTTTATTCAATTAAGCTTATCCCACAAAGAAAGGAAGAGAGAGAGAGACATACCTTGTTCTTTCCATCGAGAAATTGATGTTGCAATTTATGCCAATCCATAGACGGAGAGCATTGATTTGGTACGCCAACAGGAGGAACATTCGTCGAAGGACACGACACCGCCGTTCCTTGCGTCCCATCTGCTAAAGCATTGCCAGATTGATCCTCCTTGTGACCAGGAAATAATATCATTTGCATCTTTCGCAAGGTCGCCAGTTGGACTTCTCTGTGCTGCCTTTGCTTCGGCGTCAAGTTTTCGTCTGGAACTTTGACACCTTGCAGAGATGGTTGTAAGCCTCCTGGGCCCGGGCTCGTTGTGCCACCTAACAAATTTGGACTGTGGCCCATGGTAGCGTTACTAGCAGGTTGAGGGTTGGCTGCGTTGAAAGATAACAGGACACGTTAAACCACGCGCGAAGTAAGTTGACGATTTCGATTTAGATAAAAAAAAGATTACCTGAATTACCAGGTGAATTCGGCACAAGGCAAGGCACGTCTATATTTCCATCATCCAATGATGGTTCAGAATTACCGAGGGAGTTTCCGCCGTTTATGTTTCGCAAGTTAGGTTGCTCGTTCCAAAATTGTGGAGCATTTGGATCTAGTGCTGGTAAATCCGGGGGTTGTTCAGTCGGGAAAGTATTATTCGCATTTCCCTGATGGCCTTTCTGTTTCATCATAGCAAGATTATTTAACCATTGAGCAGGATTGTGTCGAAATTGATTTACTTTATTTGGATGTTTCTAAAAGAATAAAAATGGTAAATATATATTAATGGCAATAAATAAATAATAAGTAACGTGTGACGTGTATGAGAAAGACAAATCACCAAAAGTAACGTTTCGTACGAGGCATTTACATTGAAAGGGGACAAATCGAGCGAAGAAACCAATGATAAACGGACGAAAGAATGAGGCTGCGAAACGATAAGTGTACTACGTTGGCCAAGAAACTATGCGAAACTGTTCGATAGAATGAAAGATGTAACTTCTGTAACAAGCTGCTCGTGTATGTCATAGAGAATCTACGGTTGCTTTCAGTGGGAGACAATTCGATGCTGCACAATACCTCCAAATATTTCTTAGTGCCTGGCTGTGCACAATGATAAGCGAGGATCGAATTGTATTCGCCCCTCAACACCGTCTCCGCGGCTTTATTCGCCAACGTTGTAGAAAATACAAAAATCTGGCTCTGCTGTTGCATGTACTGCGCCTCCCCGCTGCTCGTGCTAGTTCCCATCTGTTTTCCCACAACATTACTGACAAGTGGCTGAATGCTGTCCGCTGTAATAACATTTCCACTATAATCTACAGCAAAAAGGACAATCTGATTAATCTAACGCAAAGCGCGCGGACGAAGGTAAGCAAGTGCGTGCACGGCGTACGAGTGAATACGAGCGTAGCTCCGCGGATACGAGTCGAGTTAATCTTACAAGGTAGATCGTCAGCGGGATTGTTCGGGTCTCCCTCCTGCTTGACCGAATTCAGGATGGGCTGGCTCCCGTTGGCGCTCTGGTTCTCCCCGGACATGGCACCCTCGCCGTTGGATGGATCCAAGCAGGGGTCTCTCGGGCACTCGGCGGTGTCCTCGCCAGTCGCATCGTCGTTCCCACCCGTGCCCTCCTCCTTAATCTTAACAGGGTCGGCGTCAGGCTCATCCTTGACAACCGCGCTAGGTGGACAACAACTAGGCTCGTTGGGCTTCTTTTCGGTTTTCATGGCTAAGAGCGTTCCGCGTTGGCAAACGAGCGAGCGTGTCAAGCGTGGCTGCTACGGGCTCAACAGCGGGAAAAGACGCATGGCCACACCAGCACCAGCGTCACCGGACGCCCCGACGATCGCGCACGGCAAGCGGGGTAAAGAGCAACGGGGTGGGGGAGGGGGAGGGGGGCCCAACGACTTGTCTTGAGAGGGCAGCGAGAGAGAAACAGGTTAACGGCGCGACGCGGCCCGTCCGGTCGAGCGTGGATCGCGCGCACTCACCAGGCAGCACCCACGAAACCGTCCGCGGCACCAAGCATCGCCATGTGGCCACTCGCCGTGGGCTGGCACGTACGGTACGGCGGGGCCCGAGTCCGTCGCGCGAGAACGCGTCCGCGCCCCGTGGCCGGGGATGCCGCGTAGGGGCCTCGCCACCTGGATAACCGGGGGGCGAGCCGTCGCCGTCGCGGCCGGAACGGCCGACTACGCTTAGCGCGGACCGGCTGGGAGCTGCGCCGGAACGCGACGATAGTCCCGTAGCACTGATCCGCGTGAGGGAGAGTCCGTCCCGAGTGTCAGCCTCGCCTCCACGGCGAGCGCATAACGCACCTTCTCGGCTGCTGCTGTTGCTGCTGCTGCTGCTGCTGCTGCTGTGGTGTGTGTCGCGCGCGGCTGCTGCGGCTGCGGCTGCGGCGGTGGCGGAGCGGCGGCGGTGCGCGGCGCATTCACCACGCCGCGGGGCCCACTCACGGAGGACGCGGCGGGTCCGGGTATCAAACGGCGGTGCGAGCGCACGCTGGCTGCGCGACTCCGGGTGTCCTCCTTGCCGTCGTACGCGCGAGCATTGTTCTCGAGATCCCCGACTTTATTTGTCACTTCATGGTCGCTTTGATTATTTATTTCTTTTACGCACGGCTGCCAACTGCCCGTCGGTAATTCGACGGAGTCGCCTGCGAGCGCGCCGGACGGAGACGGGACGATGCGCGGACCGTGCGGCGGAAGCGGGACGCGCGTACCGTGTGTCGCGTCGCGCGCCTGCGCGCTCGTGCCGCGCGACGGAGCCACGCTCTCGCCGCGCCGTCGCCCCGCGAGGGTTACTATTTTGGTCTTTCTTTGGTTATATTTTCGCCTTCTCGTCGCCTCTTTCGATCGCGCGGCGGCGGCGGCGGCGGCGGCGGCGGCGGTGGTGGCGGCGGTGGTGGCGGAGGCGGCGGAGCTGCCCGACCGCCTCCACTCGTCGCGTCGGCGACGCGACGAGAGAGAGAGAGAGAGAGAGAGAGAGAGGATGCTTTTGCCCCCAGATTTTATTTCGCACTCGAATTCGCGAATCGAACAGCCTCGCGAGATCGAGTCTGGAATGCGCGCAGGGGGGGGGGGGGAGGCGGGAGCGAGTCGCAGAACTCGCAGAGGCTCGCGTGGCGATGCACCCCGCATTCCCCGAGTTCCCGGCGGCCGCGGCGGACTCGTAGGTGTCGTGCGCTCAGTTCCGGCGGCACTTTCAAACTCGCGCGGGCCGAGTGAAGGCGCGGCGACTCCGGCCGATAAAACCGCTCGCGTCGGGCCACGTCGGAGACGCGTCCCGTCCGCGCGCGGACGAACCTCCGACTCGCGGCCCCGCGACCCGCTCCGGCCCGCTTCGAGCGAGTTCCGTCCCCGCGGCACACGCGTAACGTCCCGAGAGAAGAATCCGGCAGCAACGGGTGAGGTTCCCTTTTTTTCGAGTCGGGAACGCGCAGAGCTCTCGATCGCGCGTTGTTGCGGCGAAGAAATTATCGTCGAACGCCACCCCGTCCGCTCGATCGGATCGTCGGTTCTTACCGAGCGCTCTTCGAGACGCGCGTCCGGCTCGTCCGCGGGCCCCGTCGAGAGGCGCGCCGAGTGGTTCGCGCGATAACCTAGAACCGGGCTTCCTGGCGACGACAAAATGTCGATATCGCGCCCGGCGTGACCGAGCGGAAGTCCTCCGCGCCGTAAACCCGCGGGGCTTACCGCGCGCGAACCGAACGAGAAACCGCGCGTCTCCCGTGGAGCGCGCAAGGTGAAAACAAGCGAGCGCGAACGGTACTTGTCCGCGCGAGAGACCGCGGGCTTTTCACGCAGCCCCGCACTCGTGCGCTCGACGAGATGTTTCGTGCCCGAGGCGCACGCGGTTTTTCTCACCGTTGATTCATAACCTGTGCCTGGACCCGGTTTTTCCGATCGTGAGTCCTCTCTAGCGCGAGCCCGCGAAAAGCGTGCAAAATTTTACCGACCAATGTCGAATTCGCCAATGAAATCTTTCACCCTTCACGAGCTCACGCTGGAGGGAACTTAAGGGTTCGTGATCGAACCCCTGGCCCTGGTCGTCGAGATTACTTAACATTCTTTATGCAGCAGGGGCGGGGTTGACGCCGCGCCGAGAGAAGCAACGAGAACCGAGCCTGGCGCAGGGATGACTCAGCAGGACCTGGATCCCCAATTCACGCAGGGGCTGCGACTCCTGTACTCCAGCAACAAGGACTCCGCGGAGCAGCTGCGAGCTCTATTGGACGAGGCGATCAAGCAGAAGTACGGGCCGTCCAAGATGCTCTCCAATGTGCTGCAGCGAAAGGTACCCCGGCGACAGTCCGTCCCGTCGACGTCGAGCTAAGGCTTACCCCGATTCGTTTTTTTTTTTCAGTACATGATGGAAGAGCCGGTGCTGAGCGATCACAGTAGCAGCAGCAGCAAGAAGAGCAAGAGTTCCAGCTCGTCCAAGCACTCGAGTAAGTCGAGCAAGAACAGCTCGCCGGTTAACTTGCCGGCGCGCGACACCCCGCCGGACATCCTGCAGTCGGACGACACGCTGGCGCTGGAGATCCTCGAGGACGATCTCACGTGCGTCATTTGCAAGGGGATGGACGTCGGGGCGAGGAACAGGCTCGTCGAGTGTCAGGAGTGTCATTCCCTGTATCATCAGGAGTGCCACGTGCCCCACATCCTGGACTCGCAGATAGATAACGTGCCGAAACAAGTCTGGTACTGCTCCAACTGCTCCAAGTCCCAGGTGTGTGTGTGTGTATTCACCCACGTTCACAATGCGCGCGGACAATTCCGCCGAGCACGTTTTATACATCGCGCTATCGCTTGTAAAAAGATCTATGTTATTAATTGTCCGTCGATAATGAATTTACGTTAAGTTTCAAGGTAACAACACTGCGCATCTTTTACTTGTCCAACGTTGATGCGAATGCTTTACTGTTTAACTACAAACTTTCTCACTGCAATTTTATTGAATTATCGCAACAGACGCGGGAAATCATGTAAATCTCTTCCCTGCGTTGTGCGCTAAATTAATTTTTACGTATTTGTTGTATATGTTTGATAAATTGTTAAGTCTACCAAAGATTCTCTTCAATTCGTAAACTAATAGACAACTGTAAGATCCATTTTTGGAAAAAGAAGATTCGCGTGATTTTTCTAATGTTGTAATTCGATATGACCACAGTGAGAGAAGCAAGTCCTTGTAAAATAAATGATTGTTACAATTTAGGTCTCGAAAGAAAGGAGCTCGCCAAAAACTGTGATAGAAAGCAAACCTAAGGAACAGAAGAAGTCTAGCTCAGGTGAGTGCAAATATACGTTCGTAATTGGTACACGTGTAAAATTAATCGCTGAACTGTTAATCTCTTTGTAGGCAGTGGAGCGAAGATGACACCAAATATCCATATCATTAGCGCGGACAGAAGACTGAAAGACATGATGAAGAAGGCTAAGCAGGACAAGAGAAACACAAGTACTGCCACGGGTTCAAAGAGCTCTTCATCCAGTTCCCCTGCATTATCCTCAGCCAAATCTTCTCAGGATAAATCGTTATTATATAAAATAAAATCAGGGGTAGAATAAATTGCTTAATTCGTGAAAGAACAGCAAACGTAACGATAAGATAGTATAGACAGTGTACTTTATAGAAATAATACGGAATAATTTTTTTATTGACAATGTAATTATTTTGTAATTAATTTTGTTAATCTGGGAGAAAGGGCGACATTTTTTGTTGTTACTTTTTATGAATATATTTTCGTACGACCAGAGAGAGAGAGTGTGTGTGAGTAAGAATCGCGCGTCCATGATTTATGACAAAGACAAAAATTCTAGATAGATGATACAACTAATGTGTATTTATATTGAAGTTTAATCTCGAATTACATTCAATCGATATTAATACAATTGGGCCTTTGTGTAGTGTCTGAATTTCTTACTGCCTATATAAATACAATTCCATATTATACAATTTATTAATAATTGTACAAACGTGCCATGTAAATTTGTTATTTTTAAGCTTTCGCATTATTATTACAAAAATATTAAGTATGTAGAAAATAATGACATAATATTACTATCGCTAATAATTATTACACACGTAACATCGTTCGTAATACAAGTCTGCGTTGATAGTTTTAATGTAAATATACAATAGATCATTTTTTAATACCTTTTTATTGAGATATTTATAAAAGGAAAGCGATAAAATTATATAAACTTCACATATCTCAAGATTACGCGTTAATTGTACTATTATATTTATATATATAGCATATACACAATTTTCGTCACCGAAATCAACTCGTACCGAGTACGCTGATTTATTACTGGCGTGGCGATACAACATCGACGCCGGAATTGATGTTAGTGTCAAAAATGCACAGTGGAAAACTATAACACACGCGCCAAGTACGTTCTAATGTATACAAGATATACATGTAAATTCGTGTATCCGCGAATGCGGAGGTGGTTTAGTTGCGACATACAAGAACTCCGAATTAACATAATAACGATTTGCGTAACGACACTTGACGACTTTTGGGTAGGATAGTACCGAAAAATTCACGTCTTTCGCATCCGTATATTTATAGTAACGATATTTATATCTTAGCGCATCAACGAGCTGTGATAATTTTGCACGGGCGTGCGGCGTTGTGTATCGCGCCCGTCCAATTACAATAAATCTTTACAAAGACCTCTCGGGGAGAGAATTTTGAACCTCCACGAGGGATCGGAGGAGCGATCACCATCTCCACGCGTATCTCCCGCGGGTACGGCTCGGATGAATGGCGGCAAATTACAAAAGATCCAAATTACAGGACCACCGCGTGTCCCCGATCCTGTAAGGCCGATTACAGCGGGTCTGTACAGCCGAGGCTGTGCGGATGGGCAAAAGAACAACGAGGAGATAACGAGATACGAGTCGTTTATAATACCAATATATTTCTTGCAATTTTCGCATAAGATGCAATTAGTCATTTGTCCCTACGTCCCATCGAGAATTTGGCAAGAATTATTTCGTTCTCTCGAGTGTCACTTAAAGTCTACTCGTGCGCGAGATGAGAGGTGGGAGGGGTGGGCTCAAGTATTATGTACAATGGAGGGGAAAGAGAGAGAGAGAAAGAGAGCTATTTGCGAGGGGTTGAAATTACATGCACGCACGTACACACACGCATACACGCGCAACAAGCGTGTAAGGGCATTGTTGCGCTTGGCTTGATGAAACAGAGGACAGACACTTTTCCAGGATACTTTTAGTGCCAATCAAGGCTCGTCAACGTGACGTGACAACACGGTCGACGTCCCTTCTTTTTTTTTTTCGCAATCTCGGACAATCCGCTCGAGACACATGTCTTTCCAGGACGCTGATTCAGAGCGGAGCAAGGACAACAGTTGCCCAATATTGGTCAATTACATTATCAGCGATAATTAAAATAGAATACAATCGAAATGGGGAAACGGGGGATTCCCCGGTGGAGAATGTACAAATGTCCGACGGGGGAAATTATCGGAATCATTCTTTCCACCCCCTCTCTCTCTCTCTCTCTTTCTCTCCCTCTCGTCGAAGCTTAACAAAGAGTAATAATCTTAACTCGACACACGATGTGTTCAGATTTATCTATATATATACTACGAAGCATGACACACTAATTTCGCCCCGAACACGAACGCCTCTCCTCTCTCTCAGTCCGTTATTAATTACAAACGTTGAATTGCAGAATTGACAAGCTTTTCAGATGGATGGAGTCGACTTCCGAGCGTACGCGGCCCGCCGGGGGACTCTGCCGCGTGCGCCTTCCCGGTATTTATTTTAAGACGCTCGCACGGTCCACCTCCGTGGCCGCCGTTTTTAATAAAATATTCAGCGGACGCCGCGCATAGAGGTGGCGTCAATATTTTACCGTTCGCTTCTCCCTTCCCCGACCCTCCCCCTCCCTCCAACCCCCCCAACAGCGAGCATACACGCACGTTCACTCGCCCCTCGCTTCCGTATTATTTTTATCACACATTCTTTTTTGTAACGAGCGCATGGAAATTCAGAGGCGAAAATCTTGGCGCGAGAAATGTAGGACAGACGCAGTTCTTTCCCCCGATCGGCGCGGCGGCAGAGCTGCGAGCACTCGTACGTTCGCGAAGTATAGGGTGACGCTATATGGATTCTATCGGATCGCGCTCGAACGTATGCCCGACATATTTATATCTTACATGCCGCACAGGGGTATCCTCCAACTGAATTTCACGGAAATTAAAAAAAAATCGCCCATCGGGAGGCCAACTGGCACCCGATAACGGCGACTTACATGTATGCGTGTGTGCTGTGTGTATGTGTGTACATATACGAACACGAGCGTGTCTCCACGTACGTCAATCTGTACCACGCGATATACTCGAGAGGACGCAAAGAGGAACGGCCGTGTCTCGCGCCCTCGCAGCACGCGCTCCGCAAATCCGTAGAACAATATGTACCGAGAACACGCTCAATCGAGAGTATCCTCGCAAGTACCTTGGTGAACATTTTTCACGTGTTTTTTTGACGTTTTACGTGAATCTCGCAATTTTTCAATAATTTTCTCGACAACTTTTCAGGTTTCTTTATGGATTGATACACTTCAGAAATACCGAGACAATTTAGATCCTTTCTAGAATCTTTCACACGTACGAATCTTGAAACACTCATGGGATTTCTACAATTTCTCATTCTACATCTCAGAAACAAGGTGCTTTCCAGTAAAGGCTGGTCTACAATAC